CTACCCCTGGATATACCCAACCATTCCTAGCCGGATATGACGGGAATCGAAGTTCCCCACATGGGCCGAGTCCTATTTGCAGTTCGCAAATAGTACCATCAAGTAGAAAACCAACAAACTCATTTCTAAACGCCAACATGAACTGCTCGTATGCCTTCAATATATATCTATATTTATATTATACTATATATAAAAGTGTGAATGCGAGGTGGTTTTTTTCATGTTATGTATGGACAAAAATACCCCATAAAATAATTAAAACTTCAAGGTCAATTAAGTAACATAGATAATAATTAAATAGTTCATTAATGCATGTTAGTACAATAATTAATAATATTTGATTCATTGAAAAATTGTAATCACAACAGCTTAAATCTGTCGGCAATCGTTGGTTGAACCAACACTCGATTTGTGAAATTGCATTTTAGAATCATAATCAAACTCTTAACTTGGGTTGGTTAATGGTCTAGGATTTTTTAATTGTGAACCCCGGTCGATTCTGACTCGTGAACCGTTGGTTCACGACAATAATCAAGTCTCCATTTAAATTTTCATTTATGTTTAATTTTTCATTAATATTCATTTGTCCTTTGTACTAAATATAAAAAAATTATAATCAAACTCTTAATCTTAAGATTGGTTAATGGTTTTGTACTTTTGAATTGTGAACCCAGGTCGATTCTCACTCGTGAACCGTGAGTTCACTACAATGATCATGTCTCAATTCAATTTTTCATTTATGTTTAATGTTTCATTAATATTTATTTGCCATTTTTTTCTAAAAATAAAAAATAATAATAATAAACAATCAAGAGTAAATGAGACAACTCGAAATGAAAGTAATCACATGATCGAAAATGTTCTAATTAAAAAGAAAAAAAAAATCACTACACATATGATATTCAAGACGATAATAGTAATGACTGGAATAACCTAAAAAGAAATAGATATTGTAACATAAATACACAGTATATATGTATCAATATTAAATAAAATCACATTCTACTATTTTAATATATACATAAATTAATAGAGCCTTTCTAGTGTTACATAAAAACATAAACATTATTTTTCAAGAATATAGAGTTTATTTAGTAAGAAAACAAATATAGTGTAAATATATATACTTGAACTGTTGTCCTGTTGTGAAGAACCTTCTCCTGGTCTACTCCGAACGAGAAATATTCCGCATTATTTCTCCCATATCTGCCGGTGAAAAATATACCGGGATTTGTTTTCCCGATATCCATTACCCATTTAGGTAATGGAATGTTGATGTCGTCACCGACATTACCCCACATTTATTGAAGTAAAAAAAAAAAAATATTAATTATCACGAATTTTGAATTCTTCAAAAGAAAGTAAAAATAAAAATATGAAATGATGAATTAATTAACTTACTTGAATCTTCAATCCCGTGTTTCTGATCATTGTGAACAACTTACGATATCCTTTCAAGTTGTACTCCTGTGGTGTATCTGGTTCGGTGATACCCCACCAGGTATCGACCATCATACCTTCTACACCAATCGCCTTCAGCTTCTGGAAGCTGTTGATAAGCTCCTCCGGATGACTCACGTCATTGCCATCAAGGGTCATGGTTCCAATTAGCTGTTTCAGAAACAAAAGAGAAATAAATATATATTAATATATATGTAACTTATTGTAGTATATACATATATGTGATTAATTAATGAGATCGGAGAATGATGGTGAACAAACTCACCGAGAGCATTACGAAAACGGGAACCTTTGGCGGCGAAACGGAGCTGATGCGTTTATGATCACTTGAAGCACCAGATATAACAATAGACTTCTAAAACAAACAGAAATTAGCCATTCCATATGCAGAAATTATATATATATATATATATATATATATATATATATATATATATATATATATATATATATATATATATATATATATATATATACTAGCTGTCTCTTCATATTAATTAAAGTAATTACATTCTAATTATCTTTGGCAAATTGAGCAATTACATTAAATAAACTTGCATTAGTTTTATATTAATTTCCGTAGCCTCAGAGAGAGAGACTACAAGAATGTTCGCATTTGGCTACAACAAATTTCGTTGTGGAAAGTATATAATTTCGTTGCTAATTCCATTCGCAACAAAAATAAGTCGTTGCTAGTTCATTGTCTTTTATTTATTACGGAAAGTTCGGGGCAACGAATTAAAAGTTGTTGGCAATACATTTGGTTGTTGCCAAGTCATTGTTTATCATTTTAAATTTTATAATGGACTATTAATTGTATTATTTTAAATCTTGCTATTTATCACTCATAGTTAATTAATTATAAATAAATGTCAAGGATATTTTAGTAATTTATTCTTATTTTATTAAAATTTATAAAAGTAATGTTTGATGGACTCAAACCCAAATACAATTAAATTTATAATGGACCAAAATAAAATTTGAGTCAATTTATTGGGCCAGGCTCACGAAGATTTCAAACTCAGAGAAAATAAAAGAACGTAAACTGCATTTAATATAATTTCTGAGGGTGAAATTGCAAATCACAACACTTTGATATCCGTTGGAATTGAATTCGGTGACGACGTCGTTTTATCTAGAACACATAGAAGGTAACAAACCCATCACAGATTATGAAAACCTAATTTCGATCATTTTCCATTAATTAGTAAGCGCTGCAATAAAATCTCGACAGATTATCAAAAACCCTAATTTCGATGATCTTCCATTCATTAGCTGTGGATTCTCTGTAGCCGCGGCAGTAAATCCACTAGGGTTTGCTGTGTATATATATACGCGTAATTCTGTGTACATCTCCACACACACACACACACTAAGTTTTCTTCTGTTTTTTCCCAATTTTTTAGGGTTATTGTTCTGATTTATTGATTAAATTAAGATTTTTTCCTTTGATTTCAGCTGCTTTTGTTCTTGCAAAATTTGTTTAGGATTGATTCATTGTTGGAGTTGGCCTTTGATATACATGGGCTTATTGTACCTATGATTTCAGTATCGAAAACAATCAGAGATCTATTCTTTTTTTCAAATGTATTTTGAATTTGATCTTCTGTTTTCTTAATGGGATCGGATTCGGATCATCAGAGATGATCGGAGTTGTAACTACGTGTAACTTGTAGGATCTCGATCTTGTTCTTGCCCCCCCACGGGGACATTTTGTCGTGACGTGGCTGCTATTTTGATCATGCAGGTTTTCAAGATGAGTTCTTTGTGAATACTGATGGGGAGGAGAGTCGATGCTTCAATTTGTCTTTACACCGACTAAGGTTCTCTTGTTTTGGATTCATAAGTTTCCCAGCATCAATTTGTCTTTACACCGACTAAGGTTCTCTTGTTTTGGATTCATAAGTTTCCCACTTTACGACGTGCAAATTAATTTGCATTTTTCATTTTCAACCACCTTATAATTTTTTTCAACGTCAAATTTCCATTGCTTACCATGCATTGAATTATAGTGGATCGAATTGCATTCGTCTCAAGTGCTTTAAGTTTTGAACTATATGGAGTGTCGTGATATCACGACACACTAAGGTTTCACGTTCTTCATGTCCATGTACGGTAGTATCTCTGGTTTCCTTTCTGGTCAAGATTGCTACACGTGTCTAGCGAAATTTAACTTGACTTTTTTATTGGCTGCATCGAGCATTAATAATGCTCTAAATGTTCACGAACTTATCTGTGCTCATAAATGAATAATACGTTAGATCGGGACGGACTTCTTGGGCAAAAGTTACGATGTTGGGTAAAATTTAGATGAAGTATATTATAGAATTCAATAGATGTAAATGGATTACCGTTAGTTAAGTGTTTGGCTCCAAAGACGTTACATAGCGGATATTGTGAGAGTTGCTTTGTAGCTAAATAAAGCAACTTTTGCAAATTTCCGATAAGCTATGTCCTGTATAACATCTTTGACCAAACAAATGGCTAAGACGAGTTCGAATCCAATTACTCTATTTTCTTTACTTCATCTAGATCGTAGCCAACATTGGGAAGTTTTGCCTAAGAAATCCGGCCTGATCTATCTATTTCACTTGTGACGGAGGAAAAGTTCTTGAACTTTTGGAGTTTACGAAGCTGAAAACTTCTACCTTGCTGCAAAATATTTTGAGGATATGCTGTTGGTCTTAGTTTCATGTGGTGAAGATAAAAGGTTGTTGCATGAGTACTAGTTACGTATTGATTCATAATTTTCTAATCCGCCTTTCAAGTTAACCTAGGGTTTACTATGACCACAGTCGTCTTTTTAAGATTTGCATTCTTTAGTTCGTTCTGCTTCTTGTTAGCATTTATGATCAATCCTATCTTGACGATTTCGATCTTTCTTCTGTTTGAGTTCTTAATGCTCGTCTAATTATTTTGGCTTAAGCGAACCAATTTTTTAATTGTCGAAAGGCATAGTTTTTTACTAACCAAACACAATGCTGGAGATATTACAGCTTTACAGGTAAGAAGTATGATGATACGCTTATGCACTAGGTTGAAGCCGCTCTGTGAAGGAAATCCATGCTAGAATTGGAAGTGACAGTTATTTTTTTTTCCTCATTAAATCCGAAAACCGACATTTCATGATACACTTTGTAAAATGTCGTAAAATAATACCACTTCAGTTTCTAGAGCAGTTATTTTAGCGATTCCGCATTTCCTGTAGTGTTGAATTTGACCATTAAGGAATATTACTAGTGTTCTATGGTTTTTTCATCCGTTTCCCAGCAAGCCACTACCGTTTTTGTTCTTTTTAAGACGCTATTAGCATTACACTAGAGCTGATATAAGGATCGGTAGTATTCTTTTCGTAATAATGACAACTGCATTGAGTCTTCATTTAAGAGTTGGTAAACTGAGATGGTTTGCATGCTATTTTGGTGACGTGGCATTATTGAAGATCCAAAGAAATGCATGCAACATTAACACATACGTAGGAAGTAGCATTCATATAGAAACGATTGAGCTGCATTTATATATAGTGAAATCCGAATATATGATTTCCAAAGAATAGATTTAGTAAAAAATGTCAGATAGTGTATATGCAATTCGAGCAATTACTGTCTCTTGTACAAAAAAAAAGTGACGAGGCTTTCAAAAAGGCAAAAGTTGGAAGATTACATTGATCAAGTTGGCCATCCATTCGATAAATAGTTACGAATGCCGACTTCAATTTTTTTCGTCGTCTCGTACTTCCTATTCTTGATTTTTCAGGGTTTTATCTACAAAGAGTACATCGTCAATCCAAGCAACGATGTTAAATGCCAAACCTTCCAATACTCGGGAATAGCTTTCCAGCACTGCCTGTCCTACATCCTGCAAACAACATTGTAAGAACAAGTTCAGTTTCTATGTATATACATATATATGTATGTATCTATATATTTTTTATTTTTTTATTTTTTTGTTATAAGCTTGTAATGTAGATACGAAACTTGCCTTGTTGTAGTGGATTTTGCTTGTATCCAATGTAGTTTGCGAAAGTTCGGGATATCTTTGCTTCAAGCAGAACAAGAGAGTCTCTGCTCTTTCTGCAAGTATATGATTCTTGTCGGTCCTGTCGATATCAGACATGAGATCCTTAACCATGTCCCACGAGGATTTCGAATGCGTCATGCCCATCTTACGGCGCCACGTGTACATCGAGGCTTCAACCTTATCCGCAAGCTCGAGCGCTTCAAGATCAGAGCTTAAGTTGAGAGAGTCGAGCAGATGATCAGGTGAGAATTTTTCCGCGCTATACATGTGGCGGTAGATTGTGTCTCCCACACTCGCTTTTCCACTCTAAAATGAAAAAAAAATAACTGTGAAATTCAAAATTATCCTATTTCTCGAGTCGTGTATTTTTCCGTGGTTTATTATGAAAAAGTACCTTAGGAAGTGATGCCATGTATGATTCTGGAATCTGCATTTCAGCGAGAATGCTACTGTTTATAGCCATTGCAGCCTTGTGGATTTGGTTCGCACGGTCTCGTTTTTGTCTTAAATGTTTTTTCGACTTTTCAGACAGTCCATCGGGAGAGAGACAAGGAACCGGCAACCACCATTTCTCCTCTTTGCGCTGAGGCTGTGGCTGAACAATCTTTCTGAACGATCCTGAACGAGTCGATTTTGCTGATATGCTCCCTTGTTCCGCGTACCAAAACTCCGTCTCTTGAAAGCTCTCCAATATATCCTGTTGCAATTAAAAAAACACCATATTTAATTAGCTTCCTTTTTTGTCGCAAAAAAAAAAAAAAAAAAAAAAAAGGATATCGATTTTTTTTTTAATTACCAGGAGAATTGCATCGAGTTTTCGTAAGGCGGGAAGATTGATGTAAATATCTGATCTTGGCCTACTTGACATAACCTGCAAGTGTAAGGCTTGTTTTACTTACATTGTTATATATATATATATATATTTTTTAAACCATATATTGAAGGTAAGTGTTTTTTTTTACCTCTATAGTAGTCCCGTCTTTTAGATGCTGTAATGATGGACTAAATTCGACGATGTAATCGCATACAGATAAAAGGCAGTTCATTTCTCTCTTCCACATCATTTTCTTGTCAAATTGCAGAGGCTCTAATCTCTGGTGTTGACCAAATATAGAAGCTGAAGTGTCGTAAAATATCAATTAGACGAGAAAGAGATAGAGAAATGTAACAAAATATCGTTTACGATACATATTTTACACACATCCACATGTATACGTGTGTGTATTGGAAAATTACCGTAGAGATTTGTTATGGCATTCGAGATTGTGACAGCAGACGAGACACCTTTCCCACCTCCAGACATGTCTTGCCCTAGTAACAGCTTCGAAAACCTCTCCTTCATCAATTCCAGCTCTGTAATATTTTTTTACAAATATATTAAAAAAAAAAGGAATCTTGATTCATGGAATCTTGATGATCAAATAATAACTAATTTAAAAAAAAAAAAAAAGAAGGTCTCACCTAAATCCATAACCTCTTCATCCATTCCGTGATTAAGCTGCCTCATACCTAATCTCGAAAGCGCGATACGCGTTGGAGATTTAAGTCCTTGCCAGCTAATGGGAGATGCTATCTCGGAGCAGCTATTATCGTCTGTGTGCTCCGAGAAAGCCGATGCCCCGGAATTGGACCTGTAGTAAGCAAAAGATTCGACACTCATAACCGAATAACTCGCCGTTGAATTGTCCGTTTGGTCAACCGATGAAGGCGAAGGCTGATATCCCATCTCGTATTTCTCGTCTGAAGTTGATGTGCTGCTGTCCATTCCTCTGATGATAATTAAATATTTGTTCCACTATTTTGAAGTTTTTTCGTAAGTTTGAAATATAATCGACCTGCCGAAGAATTTTTACTTATTAGTGCACAAATTCAAGAATCTTGAACAAAATTTAAATACAGAATAAAGGGTTTCTTTTAAATTGAATGTTTGAATGCAATACTACCCGGGAAATGGCAAATCGGAAAATATTCGATCTTTTTTTTTGTTTTTTTCTTTTTTCAAGAAAAAGAAGCAAATGTCACTGTTTTATATGAATAATTCTCTGATGCATGTGCAGCAAAGTTTCTAGAGATAGTGAACTGAATTATATTAAAACATTAAAAAAAAAATTGAAAGAAAAAAGGCATAACGGCCGTTAGAAAGGAAAGCAACGGTATACTGCTTTAGATACCTTTTAATGGTGACAGAATTTTGAATTTGAACAGTGGGAATTGAAGGCTGCCGTTAGAAACATCTCTTTTTCCGTCAAGAAACCCTTTTTTTATGAATCTTGAAATAGAAGCCGTTAAATCAAGAAAAGTTGTTTATCAGAAATTTTGTTGAATATGTTTTGAGTTGGGATGAAAGACACAATATATGAAGTGGGCTTGGCTGAAAAAGTATGAAGGCGTGCTGTAATGTATGTTAGTTGAAATAATTATATATATGGTGGTTATGTTAGTATAATTTAATTAAATAATTATATTATTTTAATACTAATTAATTGTTGTTGTTTTTTTATTAATTAATTTCTCCATGAACCCACCGGCAGCTAGTCATGGTTCGTGCTATTTGCTATGTATTGAAGAATATGAGATAATGTACAAAAAAGTTGTTAATTTCCATTTAGTCCTATAATTAAATTATTTTATTTGGTCGGTCTGTAATTAACAAAATAAATAAATTATATTACTTTTAAGCTCATAGGAAAAAAAAAATTCAAAAGAAAAAGGATAAATAGCATTTCACCTCATGTGGTTTGAACTTTTGCACATGACTCCCTGTACTTTCAACATAAGCACATTACCCTCTTATATTTTATTATAAGCATATACTTACCAAAAAAAAAATCTTCCCAATAAGGAGGTTATGTGCTTATTTTGAAAGTACAAGTTTGTCGTGTGCACAAAGTTCGAAATATAGGAGGTTAAATGCTATTTACGGAAAGGAAAAAGTTAATCTTATCATTAACCATTTGATATATTCTCTACTTGCTATTTGATATACTAAAAATTAATTAGTATATTCTCTATTTCCATTTGATATTTGATTTGATTAAAGTAAAAACAATTGTCTCTACTTGCTTTAAAACGTATTACCAACTTAATTTTTGCGACGCGTTGTGATTTAATTAATAAAAATCTTGTGATTGTGATTTAATTAATACTAATCTTTTTTTAAGTTTATGTATGTGGTTAGAATATGTATTTACAAAGCCATACAATTTAATTTATTAATTGAATTATTAACGCAAAACATAAATAATATAAAATAATAAACAAGGACGATTTTTCACCAAATGTTTTAGGTCCAACTTATAGACGTGCATACCATCATATTTTTTGGTTCACACATAGCTAGTGAACGTGCAATTGAGTGGCATGAGTCAAACAAAATGCGTCACAAAATTATCGAGGGCAAATTACGAAAATCTCCCTGAACTTAGATTGAATTACGAAAAATGTTATCATCTATTTGTAATTATAAAAACTCCCCTGGCGCTTGTTTTAATCTTGCACCGACCCTATTACACAGTGTAATTGTTCATGGAGTCTTTTTGATTATACGTAATATTTCTTGAAAAATGTCAATTCTACCCCTGCAAACGTGACATTTCTTTATTATAATTTTTAAAGATAAAATTTATCTTACCCTCAACTGGGTAATGATAATACTAAAAAAATTGTGAAGGTTTAAGTAAAATAAATATTTCCTGTAAAGGTCCGCCAAAAGATATTTTTTGTCTCTAAAAGATAGTATAAATAAAATATCACATCTGTAGGGATATAATCTACATTTTTCGTGAAATATTCCCTGGAATAAAAAAGATTCCGTGAAAAATCACACTGCATGAGAGTCGGTGTAAAATGGAAACAATCGTCAGGGGAGTTTTAGTAATTATGGATAGGTGGGAGTGCTTTCGTAATTTAGCCTAAGTTTAGAGGATTTTCATAATTTACTCAATAATTGAAGAATAATTCAAATTTGATTCTTGATATGATTAAAGAGTTATTTTAGTCAGCCACAATATGAAAAACAAGAGGAAATTGAGAAAAATAAAAAATGGGATTAAGACTTATTAATGTAACTTGAATCAAAGTTATGGTAATTGACTTTCCCTTAGCCACATTTAAAAAATGAAAGTCAATCTCAAAAGTGAATTAGTCAACTACTTAACAAATATTGCCTCAAAATCTCGAACACGAATGAAATATTATCTACATATTTATTTGTTTAATTAATTAATTGTCAACACTAATCAAATATTACGACAAAATCTCGAACACGAACGAAATATGATGCACAAATTTATTTGTTTAATTAATTAATCGATGGATGATCATCGATTAATGAGGTATAATATCATCGATGATCATTTAATACCGATCAAAATAACTTCAATCTTCGATTCCAAAATATTTGTTCGCTTCGTCGTTAATTAGCTTCCTAATTATCTTTATGTTTATCGATAAAATTCTTATTCCTATAAGCAAAGAAAAGCCTCCACCACTGCATTTGCCAAACACTTGTAATTATCTTGAAAATCGATTCACCTATATCATTCTCCTCATGCACGAATTCGTTTATTTCCATCGGTAAAACAGTCTGCAAATAAAATAAAATAAAAATACGCGTGTGATTGTGTTCAAATCAAACCTGAAAAAAAATACTCGAAAACAAACGAACTTACGTTTGGAATGAATTTCAATCCAATAGTTATCTGCCCTTTGTAAGTGTCGTCTTCGAGCACCACATTAAATGCACATGGATTCATATCTATCAACCCTTTGTAATTTCCCTCCACCATTATTCTTCGGAGGAATATTCTGTCCCGAAAAAGAAAAAAAAAAAAGATTTTATCACCTCGCAGAATTATAAAACAAAAGGATAGTAAAAGGTTCTTTGCGAAACTATTACATGGTTTCACCGACAAATTTTCGATCACTGAAATGTCCCTCTTTCACAATTTTGAGGTTAAGGTGGCTCAAAGAGTCTAACTCGGATACTGGAAATTCGAATATAAATTTCTCGTTCCAGTATATTTTATCGAAACTTCCTGCACGAGTGAAATACTGTTAACAAAAATGTCAATAAAACCGAGAATTTTTTTTTCAATATTCACCTGACGAAGTCTTGCTTCTGCAGATTTGATTACCGCACTGAATAATAACATGATAACCCGAATCGCCTGTCATTTTATTACAACAAAATGTTAGTAGTTTTTCAGCAGAATAAAATACTTGACATGTAAGAGAAAAATGAAACGAAAAATTCAAATATATTCCGCAAATTGTGTTACCAACGAAACTTGCGCGTTGAATGCCTTTTGCACTAACGAGAACTACTTCGAGGACTGCACCTTTCATCTTATCTTGTCTTTCTTATTTTCTTTTGCATTTGTAAATAAAAAGAGAGCCGTAGTTTTATCTAAATTGCAAATTAAATGCCCGTTAATTAGGGAAGTTACAAACCCTTTTAATGAAGCAATAGATTTACATGTAGACTTCTAATAAATACACACTTAAACATGGTCAGTTATAACTGCTATAAATGAAGCGAAAAATATTTAATAAATAAAAAAATATCAAGATTTTCAGAAAATTTGCATTCAAAAAAAAAATATTAAAAAGATGGTACAAACTAATCCTTGTTAAACCCAACAATTTTTTATTTTTTTGCGTTAACTAAATCTGATATCCTTCGTAAATCTTATTCTAACCACCAAATCAAGAAGTATACAAAACCAGATACCTCGAAAAACATGACTTCAACAAGAATGCCATTTATAATTTACCTCAAATCAAGCTGTAGCCCACAACTTTCTTCAACGATTTCGTGTCGATCATATTCCTCAGCTTCTCAGCTTCTTCCCATCTACCCTGTTCTGCATACATATTAGAAAGAACCACATAGTAGTTTGTATTTTCCGGGTCCAAACTTATCAGTTTCTTCGCAACAAATTCGAGAACTTCATTACATCCATAACTGTTTCTGCATCCAGCAAGAATCGCACCCCATATCCTCTTATCAGGTTCCATCGGCATTTTATTCACAAATTCAAGAGCTTCTTCGACATTTCCTTGTCTGCTAAGCATATCCACCATGCATGCATAATGCGCAAGCTTTGGCTTAATACAATACTTCGCTTCCATCGCAAGAAACCACCTCCAACCCTCGTACTCCAGCCCACAGTGGCTACATGCAGAGAGAACTGATACAAAAATAACATCGTTCGGCTCTATCCCATGAGACAGCATGTCTGAGAAACACTCAAGAACCTCGTTTCCACAGCCATTTATCGCGTAGCCGTTTATCATCGAGCTCCAACATACAAAATCATTGGTGGTGTTTTCATCGAAAACGGACTTCCCTTGCCTCGTTCTTCCGAATTTGCAGTACATATCGATCAGTGCAGATGTCAAAAATGTATTGGTTGAATATCCATTTTTCGTTATCTGAGAGTGTACGCTTTCGCCTAATTCTATAGCATCGAGTGAAGTGCAAGCTAATAATAAACTAACGAAAGTGAATTCATTAGGTCTCTGGTCAGCCAATTGCATCAGTCTTAATATATCAAATGCGTTATTTGGCTGCGTGCTTTGAGCATAAACTGCAATCATCACACTCCATGCAATAAGATCTTTCCGTTTTAGAACATCGAACATATTCCTAGCGGACTCGATATCACCGAATTTCGCGTATAGTTGAAGAAGATCAGTCATCACAGGAACAAATGCAGCGAATCCCATTTTAAGTATAAGACTGTGAAATCCGTGCCTGATATAATTCTCATCAAATTGTGAATACGCTCCGATTACTTCTTGCATGATATATTCATCTAATTTTTCCGCACTGTAAGCTCGTAATTCGCGAAAGATCTCCAAGGCTTTCTTCGGCTTATTATTTACTACACAACCACGTATCATGATCCTCCATGAAACCATATCTTTGTTCTGCATATGTTTGAAAACCCGAAGTGCTGCTTCTAAATCCCTGCATTTGGAATACATATCGAGAATCGAATTCCACAAAATTGTGTGACAATAGAGTGATCTTTTGATAGAATAACCATGAATTTCTCTCCCAAGATTCGGTTTAACAAGACCAGCACAAACAGGAAGTATACTTGAAAGCGTCACATGATTCGGCAGAATGCCACAAAGCAACATTTCTTTAAATAATTTTAAGGCTTCCGAATGCTCGCCATTGCTCACACATGCAAAAACCATTGCACTGCACATAACCACATCTTTATTACGTGCCCGATTAAATAATTTCCACGCACTCCTCATATCCCAACAAGAGTAAACACCGACAAGTGCAGTCACTATCGCCACCTGCGAATCAATTAACCCCGTCTTTATTGAGTATCCATGAATCCCACATGCCAAATCTTTCGAGCCTAGTGAACCGACAGCCTTCACCACACTTAATACCGTCACAAAATTTGGCCTATCTCCCGAGACGAGCATTGCTTTGAACAAGCCTATGGCCTCCTCAGACCGGTTTTCTGACACCAAACTGGATATTCTAAACGACCATGATCTTGGAATATCGTTCTGTTCGAAATATTCAACAGGGTCTACCATATTCAGGCGCTTTCTACGTGAAGCAATGAGGGGTTTGCAGTTTGGTGAGGCTGTGTGTCTCTTGGTGATTTTATCGAACAGTTTGTGGGCAGAGATTCCAGAGCGAACCGCATTGGTCATGGAGATTGGTTAATCGTACTACGAAGCTTTGTTTCTTGCGATCCAGCCGTGATAATCAGTTTACCGAAGAGAGAAGAGAGGCGTTGCTACTGGCGGCGGCGCTCCGGTTCGGATAATCCTACGGCGGGTGAAATTTTGAATGGGGAGGACAAGAAACGAGTTCAAGAAAAAAAAATTGAATTTTTTGACGATTACTAATAAACCAAATTTTATTCTTATAGTGTCAAGTAATTATTTAATAATAAAAAAAAAAGAGTAATTGATAATGATATTTTTTTTCTTTTTTTTTTTTTTTTATTAGAAACTTCTTTTTACATATAGTGATTTTAGATAAAATACACGACGAGTTTATATGACAAACCCGTGTTTAGACGCAACTACATAACATTTACGTATAAAACAAACAAAAAAATATTGACATCGCATCTTATCAAGACGATAAAAAAAAATTAAAAAAAATCATGGCTGTGTTTGGTAAGCTTTTGGGCTTCCATTTCCATTTTATTTTGGGGAAAGATGTTTTGGGAGAAGAATTTGAAAATTAAATAAAGTTTGTTTGTGTTTTGGGAGGAGACAATTTGTACTGTAGCAAGTCAAATCATGTCTGAAAGGTGTTGGAAAAAGGTATTTTGGAAGAAGAATTTAAAAGATAAAGTGATTTGATTTTGTATTTTAGTGAAGACAATTTTCACTGTAGCGGTCAAATCATGTTTGTTAGAGAGAGAAATATTTGAATTTGTTTTGGGGAATTTTTTTTTTTTTTTTTGATTGAAGATGTAAATAGTATAAATCAAAAAAAGTCGTAGACAATTACAACGGGCATACCCGAGGGAATTGAGGCACTAAAGGATAGCTATAAGCCATAAAAAAACATAAAAACAACATAAACAAAAACATCAAGTTCGTAAAACAGGAAAAGTATCGGTTGGGGGTAAGCCCCATGCCCTAGTTTGCGTCGATTTGGCCAATCATGAATCGGCCTCCACTGCTGGTCGTCAATTCCGGATGCTGCATAAACATAGCTGAGTAAACGTGGGTTTTGATCCTCCGAGTAATAGCGGAAGCTGTCATTTCCGTCATGTCGAAATTCATCTTGTTCCGAGCTGCCCAAATGTGGTAAACAACACTTGCCAAAGCACATCTCCTCGCCTTGCTTCGGTAAGATTTGCCCTTGACATCCTTCACGAGCCACTTCAATGCAGCCCGTAATGTAGTTGGTCGTTGGGAGATCCCCAACCACTCACGAATGCGGTCCCATACATCTCTCGAGATGCTACACCGAAAAAATAAGTGCTCACGGTCTTCGTTCCCCGCTCCGCACATCGCACATGTCTTCTCCACCGTCGCGAACTTTGCCACATTTTCTAGGGTTTGCAGCCGATCAAGGGCAGCTAACCATAGAATGAAAGAGTGCTTGGGAGTCATCGAGTGGTCCCAAATTCGTCGGCCCCAAGGTGGCCCCCCAGTAGGGACCCTAATCCAGTCGTAGATCCTTCCAACCGTAATCTTCCCCATGCTCGAAAACGTCTCCAAACGAGCAAGAAGCAATGGAATTGACCCCGCCTTGCCCACGATTTCATCCCGAATGCTGCAAATACTTTTAAAAAACGGGGGTGAAGTCGCCGACGGTTGCCATTCCCATACGGCCGTGCCTTTGAGATAAAACTCGTTCACCCATTGGATCCATAGGGAATCCTTTTTCAGATGGATGTCCCAAAGATCCTTCACTAGCAAGCTACGGTTCCACGTGCGCAAACACCGAAGCCCCAGCCCTCCATCGGCCTTCGGCTTGCACAAGTGCTCCCACCCGACTTTTGGAGCACTAGTTCCCCACAAGAAATTCCGCGCCATATCCTCAATGCGACCAATAACTGTAATCGGTACCGAGAATATCGAAAGCCAATAGCAACACGTACCTTGAACAACCGCCTTCAAAATCTCCAACCGACCCGCGTAAGATAACGTGTGCCCCTTCCAAGCTCCGATGGCATGCTCGATTTTGTCAAGAAGAGGTTGATAATTCAGCACTCGCAGTTTTGACGCAGCAAGTGGAATACCTAAGTATCGAAATGGGAAGGTGCCGGTGGCAAATCCGAATTCCTCCTCAATCGATGTGCGGTCGGCCACATGAACTCCGGCAAGAAAAATGTTCGACTTCAAGTTATTCACTTGAAGCCCCGAGGCACGGCCGAATTCGAGTACCGTAGTGGCAAGCGTACGAACGGATGCAGCGTCTCCTCTCGAAAATAGCATCAAGTCGTCGGCAAAAATAAGATGCGTCAGTTTGTGCACATGGCACATCGGATGGAAGTTGAGCTCTTGCTCCCTCGATCGAGTATGCAGCAGTCTCGATAGATATTCCATGCAAATAACAAAAAGAAAAGGGGATAACGGATCACCTTGACGGAGTCCACGCATCCCCGGAAAAAAACCCTTCGTCACTCCATTGACCGACACAGTATAGGAAACCGATGTCACGCACTCCATAATCCAGCGGACCACCTCGTCAGGGAAACCAAGGCACGTTAACATCGACCGCAAAAAATCCCAATTTACGGAATCATAGGCTTTCCGTAAATCCATCTTGATCAAATACCGGGGGGAAATTCTTTTGCGTTCATATCCCCTCATGAGTTGCTCCACCATATGTATGTTATCCGTTATAGATCGCCCACTAACAAATGCTGATTGGGCCCGATCTATGATAGAGGGCAATACCTTCTCAATGCGCTTCGTAATAACCTTCGCAATTACCTTGTAGATAACGTTACAGCAGGCGATCGGCCGAAAATCACCAACCGTTTCGGCATGGGCTGATTTTGGTATGAAAACCAAAACCGTGTTGTCCCATTGTTTGAGCAACTCTCCACTTCGAAAAAATTCCAAGGCTGCCTCCGTAAGGAGCGGCCCCACGGTCGACCAAGCTGCCTTGAAAAACAGAGCCGTGTAGCCATCCGGCCCCGGTGCTTTATCGTCGGCGATATCAAACAGTGCTTCACGGATCTCCACCTCGGTCACCGGTTGGATCAATCCCTCTCGGTCCTCCTCACTAAGTGTCGGCCCCGTGGCTATAATGAGGGGGTCTACCGGTTCGCATGTAGTTCGAGTCCCCAAAAAGTTTCGGTAGTAGAACTCGAATTCTTCAAGTACCTCATCCCTTGAAGTGGTCACCGAACCATCCTCCCGACGAATTGAAACAATATTATTTCGTTTCGCATTCCGATTTGCAATCCCGTGGAAAAATTTCGTCGTGCGATCCGAGTCTCGAAGGTGGTGAAGTTTCGCTTTCTGATAGAAGAAACTCTTCTCCGCTTTTGATAAGAAACGATATTTCTCCACCTTTGCCAACATCTCCCCACAGAGTTGCTGATTATGGGGGTCGTTATGATAGATTTGCTGAATTTCCTCAAGCTCACTACCTGCACGTCTAACTCGTTCAGATATGTGCCCGAATTCTCGTCGATTAAACCTCTTAAGTGGGTGCTTAAGGGCTTTGAGGTTTTTGCACACGGCCCACTGACGACTCCCCCGGTAATCTGCCGTCCACACCTCGCAAACTTCACGTCGAAAATCTTCATGCTGGGTCCACATATTGAAAAAACGAAACGACCTAGATACCGGGGGCTCAGTATCACCCATTCGCACAATAACCGGTGAATGATCCGACACCCCTCCAAACGGAAGGAAGCGGGCCGAACTACCCACGAAAGCGTCGCGCCACAGTTTGTTGCCTAGAGCCCGGTCAAGTTTGCTCCACACGGTGTGGTTCGTCCACGTATACTGGAATCCCGTTGAGGGAAGATCCTCAAGTCCAGTTTGCCGAAAGCACGTCTGAATATCACTCAATAAGTATGGGGTGAGCAAATTTCCTCCCGATTTCTCCTCAGGTTTGAGAACCACATTGAAATCACCCATACACAGCCACGCCTCGGTGATACTCGCTCCAAATTCCACAAGCGATTGCCACAGTGGCCGTCTCGTAACCGGTGTGAAAAGTCCATACACAAAACTAACGTAGCATAGCCGTTGGGTGACCATGCACGTTACCTTGCAGTGGACCACCTGCGCCGTCATATCAACAACTTCCACCCTAGCCACGTCCGGGTTCCATAAGATGAGGATCCGGCCTGCCGGGTGGAGGTGAAAGTTATTGATGTTCATCCAATGTCGGAATCTTCGATCCATAATAGAGCTGAGTGTTCCCGGGTCCCAAATCTTCGTCTCCAATAAGCCACAAACCGAGAGTTTGTGCTTACCTATGAGGTCCCCGACCTCCTTCTGCGTGAGAGAGTTTAGCAACCCCCTCACGTTCCAACAGCCCACAATCATTTCATCTTAGGGGGTTTGAGGCCCCCCCGCGGCTCAGCATCCTCACTCTCAACACGAACAAACTTCGACTCAACTTCCTGAAGGCAGTGGGGGCCCCAAAGCAAAGGTTAGCAAACAAGTTGATGATGCTTGCCATCACTGTGGAAAGAAAGGACATTGGCGCCGCAACTGCAAGGCTTACCTAAAGCAGAAAGGTTCTGAAAAGGGTACGTATTTCATTGACGTAAATTTGTCTGTCAACTCTTCTTCTTGGGTATTGGATACGGGCTGTGGCTCACATTTGTGCAATGATTTGCAGCTAATGACAAGAAGTCGAAGACTTAGAGCGGGTGAGACCTACCTAAGGATGGGGAATGGAGCAAGAGTTGCTGCTGAAGCCATTGGCACTATTTACTTAAATGTTTTGGATTCTAGTTTTCCTATTGTTTTGAACGATTGTTTATTTGTTCCGTCGCTCATTAGAAACCTTATTTCTATTCCTGTATTAGATATTGAAGGTTTTACTTTTGTTTTTGGAAATTCGATTTGCATTATACAAAAGAATGAGAACTTAATTTGCAAAGGACGACTATTAAACAACTTATATGAACTAAATCCAAGTGAAATACCTATTAACGTTATATCAGCAAAACGTATAAGTGATGATTAGAGAATTCGATTCTTTAAGTCATGCACGTAAGGATTACAACACTTAGAACGATCGCACCGTTATTGAACATATAAAGAGGTCTCGATGAACCAATGCCTCTAGTTCGATCGGGACATATGAATCGAAGGGACCGTACTGTACGTTAACTATATCTGAAGGTTCTTGCAGGCACTTCATTTGTATCTAGGGAATCATGACGCGTAGTTGCTAGACGCCAATCTTGATTCGTTGGGTGATTA